CATAGTTCTCTTTCAATATTCTGTCCTGTATTCAATATTTTAATGAAATATTGCATGGTTGAAACCAAGGATATTGATTCTAACTGTCAGTTATAACATTCACATTTTTGCTGTAATTAGTGTTCTAAATTGGAAATATCCGTGTTTACTTGTCTTGTCTATTTCATGCTAGAGATGACAAACACATACTCATAAATATTTTCAACTGTTTAATTTAAGTTAACCCAGAACAGACTGTGATACAACAATGATAAGAAAAACAGATGAGCAGATAAAAACAATAAACCCTGGAGAAATCCTCTACACAATTCAGGATTAATAATAATCATAAACAGAATTTTCTACACCTTATGTGGCCCTGTATTTGAGTTCCACAACTTCAACTTGGCATCCCCTTTAGAGAGTTGACAATGCTACTATTGTTTATTTGCTATATCTATTCAAAGGCTCGATAAGATTGTGAGTCAACAAATATACAAACTATAAAAAATCAGTGGGTTAATTTTTGAATGTCTGACAAATCCTCAGGGCCATCCCCATCACTACTTCAAGCTTTATTAAAGTCCATGCTCAGTCAACAAAAAAGACAAAGAGTAGTAAAGAAATTACTCAAACTGTGATTCAAACTCTTTGAACCGACCCCATCTTTCAATCAATGATTTTACATAATAGATGAAAGGATTTATCTAAACGTTTTAGGCCATCCTCAATCTTAAAAATTTCAAAAAGATCACAGTGTTGTTATTGAGATAGTAATAATAGTAGATGTTGGTATACACGCGGTCATACTACTTTACTGTTGACCTTAATATCTACTTTGTGTATATTCATAAAGGTATATTTAATCCTACTGTGACCTACATAGCATTCAAAATGGAGGTTTTAAAACATGAAACATTGATTGGTTGTTTGATGTTTTATTAAATGTTGTTGTTTAATTAATGAGTCTGATAACGATCTCAATTTCTAAATGAAAAACTTTGATGATTAATGAACTGAAATTTCTTTCCATAATAAATTTGGAATATTAAGTCACAATGTACTGTACTGAAAACTCTTGTATTGAGCGTGAAAAAATTAATTAAAACTCCCATAAGCTTAACCGGACACAATTTTATGGATAACAATTACTTTTTTAAATAACTTGCAACATTTCCATGATGACGCTTTCGTCTTTATCATCATTGCTTGATATTTATTTGTAAGTAATTGTTATCCATATAATTGTGTCCAGTTATTCATACCCCAGTTACTAAATGCCACTCAAGGAAGTTACCAGACATCCTGTAAGCTTATAGAAAGTACAAACCATGGTTATAAATAATGAGAACTGTTTCTGAAAAATAATGTTGAGTCAGTTCTAATAATAATAATAAAGAGTTTTGAAGATAAAAAATTGTACTAGTGATCAAAAACATGTCTGAAACATGTAAGCAATGAAGGCTGCTTACTGAAGGCTAAAGCAGACACTTAATTTACTGAGCTACCATTTGACTCTGAACGACTGGTGGAAATGTCAATCTGAAAGAAAATTTTGTCAATCTCACATGTAAATATTACTGGTATCATGATGTTATTCACCATAAACCTTATACCATAAAGTCCATAACAATGTTAATAACCATCTAATGAACTTCCTTCCACTGTGTGTTAGTGTAGAATTGAAGAGAAATTGAGCTCTATGATAAAGCAACTATTAATAGGATTATATCATCCGAAATGATCAGATATGAATATAATATATATGACATTAAATATGTAGAGTTATTAATTACACACAATATTACATGAAAAGTTATAAAAGGAGTATGACATGTGGAGAAATTCACAAGGACTTCCAGTATTATTTGACCTATAAAAGATAATCAGTAACATAGTTGAATTTTGTCTATATCTCTCTACCTGAAGTTAGTTTAAGGTATTATTGAAGTTTTTGTACCTGTCTCTAACAATCATTTAAACTTTTAATCTCTCTTTAAAATAATATAATATTATATTATATCATATTAACACAATCAATAACTTTACAATTTCAAATTAATTCATCAAATTGGGTCACTGGTATATATTTTCATAGTCAACTACCTGTCAGTATATTGATTATAACTCTTATAGAATGTATATATAATATTTCAATATTGATTATGTTATAAAATAAATGTATATATATTGTTATTATGTTTTAATATATATCTGCAATATCTACACCTGTATATTTAATTCTAAAGTTCACCCCGTATGTTGCTGAATTTTCTCCTCGGCCTGTGCCTTCGTAATTTCATTTATACTGTTTTTACAACCTATATCACAATTATAAGTAATTAAGTATATGCACAATGCACCCAAGTCAATTTCTGAAGCTTTCTGACATTAGAATCAAGAAGATTTTCATGGACAGAGCCAATAAATAGCATTCTGACATCAGTTATTTATTAAGACAATGACAATGCCAGGTATTTTGGTAAGAATAAGCACTACCCAATTTGCACGATACTTTAAACACAGGATTCAATTTAGAACCTTCAAATATACAATTTTATTTGTTTAGCAGATTGTTGTGATCAAGTTTGAGTTTGGCCGATCATAGAAAATATTAGATGGCAAAAAGGGGTCATTTTGAATCGCAATACTGCTTAAATGGAACCCTGTTAAGCCAGCAAACCTTGGAACTGAACATACAGTCAATGCCTCAAATGACAAATAAATAGATATAGACCCTCCGTACACATTTCCTTGTATTTATATATGAGTCACAATCAACAGGGCATCAACATATTTAAATATATATGGAACCCTGTTAAGCCAGCAAACCTTGGAACTGAACATACAGTCAATATGCCTCAAATGACAAATAAATAAATATAGACCCTCCGTACACATTTCCTTGTATTTATATATGAGTCACAATCAACAGGGCATCAACATATTTAAATATATATGGAACCCTGTTAAGCCAGCAAACCTTGGAACTGAACATACAGTCAATATGTCTCAAATGACAAATAAATAGATATAGACCCTCCGTACACATTTCCTTGTATTTATATATGAGTCACAATCAACAGGGCATCAATATATTTAAATATATAGAGTTACTTTCAAAATCAAAATCCACTCATCATAGTATCTAACTATCACATCCTTTGATTTTGTTTCCTATCTCATGACCTATGCCAGTGCTTTTTTGACAATACTATTCTCATCTCACTTTGAAACCAATGAGTACCTGATACTGAAATACATTTTTTTCTGCACTCTATTTCGCACATAACTAATTTTTCACCTTAGCCTTTGCTTTCGTTATTTAAATTATATATTGTTGTTACAACCACTAGTAAATTATTATGTTTACTGATCATTAGTTACCACAGACAAATAGTAGAAAACATTGATGGCTTAATGGTTTTTTTTATGAGAAAGATAATAAAAGAGAATTTGTACAAGTCTGTAATTACCACTGTCTTGTTGTAGTCTCATATATCAGACTAATGGAATAGTCTAATATAATTAACTTCAGTAGTTATTGACCTAGTTCATATCTCAGAATAGATCTGACCTAATTCCACTGTCAATAATTACATCAATACTTCAGTATACTCCGGAACAGACAAAGAAAACCTATAGTAGCACAAAGCGCGAGTATGACATCAGATTTGCTTTAGTCACTATAAATCTTAGTTTAAAAATGGCTCTATCAGTCTACATGGTGCCAATAGTTAAGATGGTAATATCAGTAATTTGATGACAATATCCTTTCAGATATTCATCAAAAAATGGACATGAAAGGGCACGATAAGAAAAAAAACCTATTATAGTACAAATCATGAGCATGACATCAGACTTACTTTAGTCACTATCAATCAAACTGTAAAACATGGTCACAATATTTCAGTCTCTACATTAGACTACATAGTGTAAAAATATCTAGTTGAATAATTAGTAACATTAGTAATCTGATGACTCTATCTCTTCAGATGATTTATAAAAAAATGGACATGAAAGGACATGATACAAGAATATAAAAATATTCAGGTTGCAGTGATTGTGGTCACTTATAAGGTGAAAACCCTGCTTGGTTCATTCCTGAGCAAAATTACACAAGAAGCAGGACTTAGTCTTTAAAATCATAACCTGTCAGGTAACTTGAATGAAATAACTTATGAAAGGACAATAATACCATCATGGTTCATTCAATGTGATCAATTCAATATTCTGGGCACAAAATATCCTATACTCAGATCAGTGCTATTAATTTGTTATTTACTGTTTCAGAGGGAGAAATCAAGTTGCTTTTAGATGGTAGTATTTTATCCTGTTATAGATGCATTATGTTTCTTCAAAATACATTTCAAACCCTTTATCGCAAGTTTTACAGACACTGTATGGAAAGTACATGTACATGTGAATAATTGCTGTTAGGGATAACTTCAACGGAAACTTCAATTTCATCCAATTTTGAGAATGTTGTCCTTCAACTTTAAGTTTTGTACCGCACCTAATGTTTCTCTTGTATTATTTCCTTATTATTACAAGATAATGGATGCGTTAATCATATTACATGTATCAATATTCGATAAGAGTATAATATTATTACATTATATCATACTGACCTTCACCTTAATCTTATATATAAATATATATTTTGTATCACATGATAAAACCTGACACACCTTAGACCAGTGGTACTGTTATTTACCTTGCTTACAGACATAGTAAATTTCATTTCTGAGTTCATTTGTTAAAAAAATGCTATTAAACAACAATCATTTCATGAATATATATCTGCATTCAGGCAAATATTTCAGTCACTTTCTACTCAGGGCCTTATTCTCGAAAACTTAAGTCATCTGATTGGTCAATCACTAAAATCAATTTTAAGTTAAGTTTTATTATCCACTTATATTACAGTAATTCTTAAACTCTTGCTTTATCGATACCTTACTTAAGTTTTCAAGAATAAGGCCCCAGATACTAAATATAATAATCAAAAATATACTTACATATTCTTTAACATTCTTCGTTCTGACGGCTTTGTATGAGGCATAAGCTGGATATAATGTTCCAAACACAAGTCTACAAAAACCATAAAGATAAGGTGCCATCAAAGTCTCGAAATGTAATAATATATCTTTCATAGGTTTGGAATATTCATAACACACACATAAAATATCATAGAAATAATATAGATATATACACAATGTCTCATAGTAATAATACAGAGAATCTTTGTCCATTCTGGGTATGGTGTTAAAACAATTCTTGTAAAATTCCACTTCATCTATTTTGAACTAAGGACTGAGTATGTTACACATTATTACACTTTTAATAGTCCATTGATCAGTTAGAAATGTCATGGTGGTTGCATAACTTTCAATTTCTCTTACAGAAGAACTTTTCTTTTTAGATCTTCGAAAATGTTATTGAGAAGTGCTGTTTCCTAAAATAACAGTAAGGTTTTGAAAAATTTCGAAAAAAAATGCACACTATCGATACTCATGTGATATCATTGCCATTTGTCATTTAGAACAGTGAAACAATAAGCTTATTGATAGTAATAATGATAATGTGATTTGAATAAGTGAATTCATTGCACTGATTATATGATAAATAGAGCTGGGCAGGGTATCATAACCTTGGTACATATGTCTACATTTCCTGATCAAGAACAACACTTTCTGCTAAGACATACTGTCCTTGACCTTACTACAATTCCAGTAATTTTGTTTCAATGTCCTTTACCTAATTTAGCATCCCTTTAAACAAGCTACCTTTTCTGCAAACTTTAAAATCATTAAATCTATAGCCAACAAATGGCCCTTAACACTTTTCTTTAAATTGAAGTAGTTCTATATTTATTCAAGACTCTACTCTCTGAATTGGCATTGTAAGTATTTTATTTTAGTAAAGTGAGTCTATTGCTTTAAACAGTAAAAGATACTGTCCATGACAATCCATACTTAAAAATCAAAAAAATAAATTCTGTATTGAATCTGTAACCAAATACATTCAATGTCATTTTTATTTCTTTACATTGCATGTGAGGCTAAGTGAGCATATAATCTTTATTACATGCCTTCAACTGTGTCAAATACAATCACAGAATGGAAGATTAGATAAGGATCAGACAAAATATGTAGGAGTAAACAGAATGCATTCAGCATACATGTTAATAATCTGAAAATCAATCAGAGCTAAATAATATCCATGACTACCTCACATACAGCTGTTCTGATACATCTGACATTATGAGTTATTGGAATATACTGTATCATATACATACTTGTCAACTGTCATAGTGTCTAAATAGGAATTCTATGAATATTGATTTCTATGCAAATTATATTGCCTAAAAAATATTGTATGCTAAATAACAAATTGCAATAAATATCTATATACAAGGAAATGATCTCATGTATATAGACGAGGAATAGTTAAAACGTTATAATCAAATTAATATTATATTGTAGAAAACAGGCCATCATAATAAAATTAAAGGCTATTAAGTTGATGTTACACAACAAATAACAATGACAAATGGCAATGTTAAAATAAATGCATATTTTTGAAGGTTTGGGCGAAAATTAATACTGTTACTATTGAAGGAAATAAACTTTCAAATACTTTTCAACGCAAATCTCTCAACTAGGATTCTCTCATTGATAATCCAAGAATTTAAATCACGAATGTTCTTTGATAGATTTAAAATTTCACTCAAACACTGTTAGTTGCTGTCTCCCAAACTATAACACTCCACACTTTATAAAATAGGGGAAAACAGGGTAAATGAAGGTTATCACAAAATAAAACAGTATTAGAAATGAAAAATGGCGTAAGTATACACACATGAAGAATTTGTTGGTATATCTGCTAGTTTAATCTCCATGGCAACCAGAAATAAGTGGTAGTGTGTTACCTGAGTGAACCAGATGGAGTTCTGGTTAATAACAACTTTATTCATGTATTCAACTACATGTCAGTCAGTGAGTCGGTTAAATGGGTGGATCTTATTTACCTCAAACATTCTTAAATTACACCATAAACTACCTATTGATCTGAATTCCGCTGTCCATTATTGTTTTTGTAGGAAAAAAAACAGATCAGTCAGTTTCCATGTATGTGCCAAAAATATTTGGTTGTTATGAGTTTGAGTATATTAATTTAGTATTGGGGTCATAATAGCATTAACAATCACTTGTGTGTACAGAAATTCAGTTTAGCATCTAAACATCTTGGTCCATCTTAGTAATTGCCTAAAAACTATTGTCAGAATTTAACAAACTGAGCTTAGGTCTTCAAGACAACCAAAGTTTTCAATGACTTTTCAATTAAATATGCACCTTATTATCTTAAATATCGGCTGAAGTATCTGAGAGAAATGTATATTTAAAAGCCCAGAGACAAACTAACAATCTAATATTCGACCTATTGACAGATATTATCTAAAGTTTGCTTGACAAGTTCAAGATAAAACTGACAGTAAGACTTTAATCAACCTACTCAACCTGAACAATCCTGCATTTCATATTTCTATCATTAAATGCTTAAAACAATCAAATGAGATCCATACCAGTACCAGCCAATAGTCATAAACTATTCACTGTACTTTTTGACTTGTAAGATTCATATATTTCAGTAATATTTCTAACTGGCTGATCAATTCATAATGATATTTGTTCAATCAATGGTAAATTCAAAATAGTTTTCATATTCACATCTGTGGTTCCAATTACTTTTATTTGGCTTTACTCTGCTCTGTCATTATACAATAACTAAATGCCATTAGCAGCTGTTTCACTGTAATAAACAATACGTCTGGAACAATAATTATTACATATCTCATTCACTTCATTTTCATCTACTCCTATCATTTAGCATTTTTCCAATTCTCAATCAAAATCAAGTTAAAAGAATTATGCCATATTTTATAATGGGTGATTGAAACCATTGTATACCTAAGCTATGTTCTAAATCTTGATCTAAATTGTATAAGCCGTGGGATTATTTTGTGCGATTAGAATTTAAAACTTAAAAGACTCTCAAGAAACATCTTCTAATCTCTTTGTCGTGAACTTCTCAATTGAATATAATTCTCCTAAAAGCGTCGCCCTGCTCAAGAAGCAAGGACTGTGTTGCAGTTTGCTATTTAGTTTAATAACTAATGAATAAAGTAATTCTGACTTATCATGGTCACTACATATCAAATATAACATAACTCAAATTTGGTTTAGTAATCTTTAACCGTTGATCTTATCTATCTCATAACTGGTTCAGGTAGTAATGATCAGTGATGTTTACTATCTTTTTATGAGATACCGGTAGTTCTATTGTTTGGTAGGCTAAACTTTATTTAATGCTAGCAAGATAAGGAATAAATTTAACTCAATAGAGCTAACTCCATGTATTCACATAAAATATTTCCTTTTTAACCAAAAATAAGGGTATTATTAGGTCAGTATGGGGCTGTTTTATTCAATAAGTACACTGAAATGTTAAGAAAAGTACATCTGTATTTAAGATAAAAAGATATGTTACATAGATCATATCCTCTAAGGAAGTTCTGAGGTCCATTTTTAGACTTAATTAGGTTCCAAAAATTTCTTATTAAACCTTGACATCTTACCCAGGAAACCGATGGTAATGAATTACTAATTAGGCAGTCTGAGTAAGCCTTTTAAATACATTATTTGTTCTATAATTTAATGAGTTGATCTCAGGCCATTTCTAAATTGGCTATCTTTCTATTAGCCTTAATATTAACAAATTTGCATTAATTCAATGGAAAGCTTCAAACACAACTGAAAATTGGTCAATCATTGTTTTATTAATCATCAAAACGATGCAATATTTCAAGTTCCTAGCCCTAACAAAAAAATGTTGTGAATGCGAAAAAAAAAAAATACGTCGTGGTTGAATTAGAATATTAATAAAAGCTGAACTTACATGACTAATCGTGAGATGAAAGCAGACACCATTATGACAATATTTACAGATCTGCTAGTTTTCAATAATCCAAGGTTTGTTCAAACTACTTATTCATTTTGGCAACATAAATTCGGTTAGAAACTTGTTATTTTTTGTTCATTTCAGAATGTCGGCCATATTTAAACCGTCATTTCCGGTGTTGTCACGTGATAAAAACAAATTTGACAGGTGCCCGTTCACTTTCCCCTCCCTTGCCCCGAGGGTACGGCTCATTCCCTCCAAAATGTTGTCTTGGCTTTTTTGACAAATATTAAATAAATTAATTTCGATAGCATAAAATTTGTTTGGATCTTTGAATCTAGGCCAAGTCTGAGAAAATTTTATGAACTTGTTTTTGCGCCCGACACGAACCAACGATCGCTTCAAATTATATTTTTACTTTAGGATGACGGTTTACAAATCTTGATGGATATTTGAAACACTCGATCAAAAATGTTTACGTGTAATACTATCTCTAAATATAGAAATAACTCAAAAGCAAATGAAAGGTTTAATTAGTCGTACTACTTTCTTGCCCGCGGAGGGAGAATATATTTGTGACCTTTTGACCCACCAGATGTCAAATTAATGTTTTGTATTCCTACATCGTGTAATCTGACTTAGGAGACATTCCACGGAAATTTTGTCCGTGGTTTTCTATCAGATATTTCTATGTTTTAATGAAAAAATGGATATATAAATGGAGAAATGGCGTATAAGTATAGAGAAGAACTAGTTGGCAAGCGTTTCTTGTCAGTTAGATATTCAGGAAAACTAAAAGTTAGTAAAATATCAGAATGGGAATGGCGATGTGGTGTTGTACGAGCTGTTTCAAGCCGTGATACAGGGAACATCGACTTTACGGTAATATTTTTGTTACAAATTCACATTCTTTTACTTTCTTTCTCTTTTCTCTCTCTCATTAGTTCTACATACACTTGAAATTGATATATTGTATAACAATTTGTTTACTTATTTTTAATTAGGCTAAGACCATTGCTAATTAGATTAATTAGGACACTTTTTTTTAATTAGGTTTCAACTTAGAGTCTTAGAGTTAATTAGATTTTAGATTAGTCCTGAATAGTCTATATTCAGACCACCTTAAAGTTCCCACTTAATTTTAAGTATGTTCAAGTAG